TATGGAGAATGATTATTTAACGGTATAATAAAATATCATTATATGTATAAGATTCAGTTTATGTAGGACATATGATATAGGAAATTTAAATAAATAATAAGTCATTCTTATTTTGTGATAACTTGATATCATATTATTATAGTTATTTCTGAATTGTTTGATGTATTTCCTTAATCGTTACATTAATTGTTGGATTGTGTGGTTTAATGCACCGGTATGGGACGGTGGCATTCTAGGGACGAATTAACTTATTAGTTAAGTCCCACCTATTTTATATAAGGGAATGGATTAACTAAAATGTTAAGTCCTACTTATATTCAAGTCAGGTCAGCTGAACAAGTTGAATGACTTATGGAGGATTAATTTATTATATAAGGGAATGGATTAACTAAAATGTTAAGTCCTACTTATATTCAAGTCAGGTCAGCTAAACAAGTTGAATGACTTATGGAGGATTAATTTATACTGAATATGATGGTTACTAGATTAAATATATATAAGTATGGTGCCATGATATGAGCTTGAGTCTCAGGATCAGTGGTTAGGGTGCGTATATCGCCGGGGATGTGTAGCTAGATATAGTGTAGTTGTGTACCCTGGTAGGTCTAGGTACTCATGCCCACTATATGTGCGTTTTGCATGCTGCTTACTATTCAGGTTGAGATAATCCTATAGTCTAGTGAGGTTCCTTTAGTGTGTATATATATATATATACGGACTACTAGTTACTGTTGGATTGACTAGGATGTATACGTGTATCGGATCTCTGCTTGGACTATAGTAGAGTAGAACTTGTTTGTGGGCTTGACCCACCATTATTTTTCAGGTGTTCGTCAGGAGTAGAGGTTGTTCGTGCTGAGCGGGGATCAGTCTACTTCATTCTTCCGATGCTACATAGGAGTTCCTTTATGATTCAGTTTCCTGATTTAGACAGTTATTGCTGTCATTTGTTTAGTTTGGATTTTCTAGGGGTCCACACAATATGGATTCCCGAGTTGTATTTTGGAGGATCAGTTGTATCAAAAGAGTTTTTTAATTAATGGAAATATATTCTGAGGTTTATTATTAGACTATCATTTTAGTTTCTTGTCAGCATTTTATTTAATCAGTTGTATCAAAAGAGTTTATTAATTAATGAAAATATATTCTGAGGTTTATTATTAGACTATCATTTTAATTTCTTGTTAGCATTTTATTTATTCTTCTTTATTCTTTTGTATTCTGTATTCATTTATTATCAATTTGTTTTGATATCCTCGGATATTCGGGTGTGGGCTTAGCCAACCCGCATTCGAAAATCCGGGGGTATCACATTTTATGCCTCGTTTTGCCTGCCACGTGGGCCTCGAGGGCCATTTCGGTTATTTTTCTAGCCGAGGGTTTTTAATTTATTTTTAATTATTTTAAGTCATTTAGAAGCGATGGGATTGATTTTAAAATTTTTGGAAAGTGGGGACGATTTGTGGGTTCGGGAACTTCTCCCGGTTTTCTCGTTAAAGTTAAGGGCATTATGGTAATTTCTCACACACACACACACATATATATAGATGTAAACATACATTGAGATATTTATTGGGATTTAAATGGAAGGAACTGATTAAGTGAGGGACAAGGTGGTAAATTGACCAAAATTAGTTTCATTCAAAGCTTGACAAGTGGCACTCTTAGGGCATGGAATTAATTGTAAAAAAATCAACCCAACTCTCTTCCTGTTCATTTGACTGAATCTCTCTCTCTCTCTCATTAGTTTTTGTTTTCTCTTTCTATATCTATATGTATCTATATTGCATAATGCTTCTAAGCCATTTTTGGAAGGTTTAAGTTATGATTTTGGTGATGATGAAGAAGAGAAAGTTGGAGAGCATGTCAAGGACCACATTTTGAGACCATGGTTGCTAGGGTTTGGAAGAATTTCAATTTTTGGGAGCCTTAGGGCTTGTTTGGCTAGTTTCAATGAGGTAGGGGTTTCTAATGCATATTCTCTTTGTCTTTGGTGAATTATTCTCTATAAATTGAACCTATCATGCTTAATTTGTGAAAATTTGTCTATATTAATGAGGGTTTGCAAGTATTTGAGGTGATAAATTTATGTTATGTGTTAGTTGAGTTTATGATTATGACTTATTGTATTGTAGGAACAAAGCATGCTTAGTTTTAAATCGGTTGTGCTTTATATTAGTATATGCCATGAAAATTTGATGTTGAAATTGTAGAAAGCATTACCTTGAAAATTTGATGTTGTAATGAGACTTATGGACTGTAGGGATTGTAATTTGCTCCATGGACTATAAACTTGTAGTAATTAGGGCACAATTTATGTAAAGGGACTTATTTCACTATGTAATGATGTAAATTGGTCCTACCTTGATATATGGATGTTGTTTTATCATTATACATATGTTTATGGATGTTTTGGGTTAGCTTTTAACCATATTAAAGGTTTTAAGTGATTTCATAAGGATGCCAAGTTGTTTAGTAACTTAAACAGAGCAAATTTCGCATTTATAGCCATTTCGGTCAACCGGTAAGCCATTTCGGTTGATCGGTATCATTTAGGATCAAAACCAGTAGCTTAGGACACTCCAGAGCCACAACCGGATGACCAAAGTGTCATTTCGGTTGACCGATGGGTCATTTCGGTCGACCGATATAGCACACACAGGTCTGCAGAAATGAAACAGTGACAACTTGGAATCCTCGATTTCAAATGATCATATCTCACTCATTTTAACTCCAAATTGGGTCAAATTTGAGTCTAACTTCAAGGATTTTAAGTCAGATTTCCAATGGAATTAATTTCACTCAAAAATTCTAATCGTAGAGAGAGTTATGACCTTTTTAGTGTGGATTGCTCCGGAATTCTTTGAAAACGAAATGGGCAATTGTGTGAAATCCTCATTCTTATGTCCAAGACCTTGTGTCATGGGTTTAAATGACCCTTATGACTTATGTTGACTTATTTAGACTCATTTAGAGTTATATTATTTATTACCACACCTTAGTTGACCGTTTTACCCTTAGATGCTCTCGGGTTCGGGTAAGGACCCAGTTAGTCATTCGGATCCACGGGTTCAGGTCGTTACAATTCTTAACTTGAAAAAATTAACATAACATCTCACAATTTAGATTTTTTCAGTGCATTGCCAAATAAAGATGAAAAAAAACTTTACAAATAAGGGAAAATTAGAATTTGGTGACCAAACTTAAACAAGATTGTTGTAAAATGACCTTAAAGTTGAGAAAAGATAAAGAGTCACCAATTTTAAAATTTAATTGCTAACAAGTGACCATTTGATGGTTTATTATATAAATATCCTTATTGTAATATATATATTTTTAATTAAACAAATTTATCCTCAACATTAAACACTTTTGTTGTCCAACAATTAGAGGATAAGATGAAGAGGAAGAGGGAAGGGGGAAGGGGGAAGGAAATGGAGGTGTATTTAAATGGTGTTGTAGTTTTTAATCTTTTATATATAATTCGGTCAAACTTGAAAGTATGTATATCCATAGAAATTATAACTATGGATATAATATTCTTAGTTTTGTGCTTAGCATATTTTTCGATCACGATGGAGAGCCGTGAAAAATAAAACATAAGGTTAACAAAGAAATTCTAAATTTAAGATATAAGGTTGTTAAAGAAATTCTAATTTTTTTATTGGTAAGTTGCAAACTAAAAAAAGAAAAAAATCCACAATTTTCTCATCTAAAACTTATTTTTAGAATATTTTATATACAAGTAAGTATTGTTTGACCAAATTGTCCTCAAATGGTCACTTATTAGCAATTAAGTTTTAAAATTGGTTACTATCCATCTTTTCTTGACTTTAAGGTCACTTTTTAACAATTTTGTTTATCTCTTACTGATCTACATCATTGTCATTGTTCGCATTATATCTAATAAGCCACAGAGACACTATAACATGCATAGAGTGAAAATTTTAAACTATTTTTCAGTTGTTACTTGTATTTAAATTAGTTTTATAGTCCGCAATCATGCAATATTAACTAACAGCCATGCCATGTGAATGAATCACTCACATAATATCATACAACATCGTTATTAGTGTATGTCTGATATAGTAAATTAAAAAAAATAAAAGCCTTTAAAAAATATTTAAATTAATAATATATGTGCTTTAAAAAACATTGTTACCAAACAAATTTATACGTGCTTTAAGTATAAAAGCGCTTTATAAAATGTATTACCAAACACATAATATGATTTTTACTTACTATTAAAACGTTTTCATCATTCTAACAGCAATCCCAAACGGTTTACTGTCCTAGAGCATCCAACACTGGACAGTCTCCACACTGCCCGCTAGTTGTTCAAAGATTGGCATGCTATTGTTACTGGAAGTTACTCAAAATGAGAGGACAGATACAGATCAGACACAACTCCCACTCCATGAACAGAGTGATGGTGACAGTAGTCTGTAGAGAATACTGAGTGTGCTATGAATGGACTCTCTCTCGTGCTCTAACAATGATTTTGTATGAGAAGATTGAAAAAGCTATGATTGTATAGAAATTAGGAGATGATAGCAGTGATAATCAAAAAATTTGTTTGATTTCTAAAATTAGTTTTTTGACAACTCAAATTTCTTTTTCTTTTTTCTTTTTTCTTTTTTTTTTTTTTGTAAAAAAAGGTGCATATGTTCAGATTACATGATTTTGTTAAGTCTCTAAAAAAGTTTTCTGTTTTTCAAGTTCTTACGAAATAATTTTAAAAAACTGAACTAAACATACCCAAGATAAACAATGAAAACTCTACTAATCCCCTCCCATTTTCCTTCCAGTTTTGTCCATTGAAAATTTAAGACAAACTAACATTTGACAGAGAAAAGGTCCTCAAATATTTAGAAAAGTTCTCTTCCATCAATCTCAATTTTGGAAGAAAATAATCAAATGGACCCTGAGATAATAATCAAATGGTCCTCTTCTGTCCCTTTCCCTTGCCTTCAATTCAATATACTGATCCCATCGAAAAATTTAAGAAATTCTAAACTAAAAATTGAATAGAAAGATGAATATTGAATAATAACACACCACACATATTTTTTTTTTTTTTGGGGGGGAACTTTAAGCGTCAAAACTTCTATTTTCAAAAGTCAACTACAACTCCATGGTGACTCTGTCATAACTCCATTTGAAATGAACAATTGCTATCTTGGGAAGAGGAAGAGTTTGAAGCAGCCGGAAGACCAATCATCCAAAATCACATCCATAAATTTAGAAGGATTAGGCAGAAGCAAAATGCCAAGTACGACGTGTTTCAAGCAGGTAAACTTTTATCTCATAGGAGTTCATTTGTTAAATACCAAAAGAAAATTTTTTCTTTTATTTTTTTTATTTTTATTGTTTTATAATTGCTTAACTACTACAAAATTCTCATTTTCATTCATTCATTTCAGCCTTATAGAACCATGGCTTCAATCTCAAACAATGGAGATGATAGGATTAGCAGCTTGCCAGACTCACTTCTTGTTCATAGTCTCTCTTTTCTTCCAACAAAATACGCAGTCGGAACCAGCGTACTGTCATCAAGATGGAAGTGCCTCTGGGCTTCTGTCCCAAATCTAGACTTTGATGCCAACTTGCATTTGGATTTGAGCTCTTCCGACTTCATGAACTTCATTGAACGAGTACTTCTCAATCATAATTTGTCCGGCATTCAGAAGTTCCGTTTATCTTGTGATAACGATTACATAGATATTGATATTTCAAGAATATATACATGGATAAGTGCAGCCGTAAAGCGTGGTGTTCAAGAACTTGATTTACAGATTAGCCCATCTGGGCAAGATTTGGACTTACCTTTTAGCCTCTTCACTTGCCCAACATTGATGGTCTTGAAACTGGGAAATGAAATTAGATTTGATGTTCCTTACCCAGCCCGTTTCAGAAATCTCAAGATCCTCCATGTTTCAATTTGTTTTCATGGCAATGACTTGGCACGAAATCTATTCAGTAACTGCCCTGTTCTTGAAGATCTGCTGTTGGAAGGAACTGTGTTAAGTTGTGAAAAACTAACTTTTGATGTCTTCACCCCTGCTCTAAAGAGTTCAAAATTAAAATTTACTACTTTAGTAGATGATTTGTTATTTGATAATAGTTACAAAATTGTGATCAATGCACCAGTTCTTGAGTATCTAAATCTCCAGGATGATTACATTCATTGCTACATGCTGAACAACCTATCCTCGTTGGCTAAAGCAGATATTAATGTTGGATACAACTGCAATAAAGCTGAGAAAACCGAAAAACATGCTGATCGTTTACTTGTGCTTCTCACAGAAATTTCTAGTGTCAAATATTTATTTTTATGGTACTATTATTTTTAAAATTTAAATTAGTATAGATAGCACTTTTATTTGACTATTATGTTCATGTCTTATTAAGGCTCTCGACTATGCTGCTGATAGTAAACTGCTGTTGTTCCCTAATTTGATTCGTTTGGAGCTACATGTTCACAATTGCTATGGTTGGAAAGGTCTGCTAGACTTGCTCAATAAGATTCCTAACATGGTGTATCTTGTTTTAAAGAAGTTGAAGGTGACTAAGCATGCAATGAACAATTTGAAGTACGTTTTTTATTTTATTATTCAAAATATATGACTTCTGGTTTCTGTCTCCAGTTCTGTCAATGTGGTAAAAACAATGCTTCAAAGGATTTCAATTTTGTTGAACAAGAAGTGCCTTATTGTCTGTCGATGCATCTTCAAGAAATTGAAATTTCTGGATTTCAGGGGATGAGTGATGAGTTGAAGCTGATAGAGTATTTTTTAAGGAATGGCAGAGTATTGCAAAAGATGGCAATTAAGTCTTCTAATTTGTCAGGAAAGCAAGAGGAGAAACTGCTAATGTTCCCTAGAGGTTCAAGAAACTGTGAAATTTTACTTTCTTAAGAACTTTCCTGTGGTGGAGTCGAGTTAAGTGGGCTCTTATCTTTAGTTGCATCTGTTCTGTCTGTGTTGAAAGACGATGATTCTATGAAATTGTTTCTATTACAATGATTCCTGAGGAGTTATTGATTTCTATTTCAGTGACCTATTTTTAATTCTTTTATATTGTAAGATCGAATGTCAAATTTGTTAATATCAGTTATCTCCATATACTATTTATTAATACAATTTACATGAAAATTGAACCAACCAACAGGTCTTTTGACATTAAACCACGCACAATATTATATACTCTGATATCAAATCGGCAATGACTTTTAACTCCATAATCTACCAATTTACCTTTCTTTCCTATATGTCATATAGGCATGTTTTGGCAAGTGTTTTGTTGGGAAACGTGTAAATTTTAAAAACTTTTTGAGGGATTTTCATACATAAATTTTGATTTATCACATAGAGACAAGTTTTATGCAAAAATAAAATATGATGTATCATTCAATTAATAGATCGAATATTTACATCAAAAGTTTGAAAAAACCTTAAAATTTTTCATCTAAAGTGAATGTTCTCATTTATTATAGATTCCTTAGTAAGATCATTTTTCCTTCTTCTTGATACTAATATTCCTTTTACGAATCACCAATATACCTCGATGAATGACCTTGGAGGCAAGGCTTGTGGTAGCTTTTTTTAAAAGAGAAAACAAACCCTAAAAATATAGAGAGAAAATATATTCTTTTTTCTTTTAAAAGTCTCACCTAAAGTATACATGGACCAATATATATATAGGCAAAATAAAGATAAGGAAATGAAATAATAAATCATTCTCAATCTCTAATTCACATATCTCAATTCTTATAGGACTCCAATATCAACTTGGGTTATGGGTGAGAATTCTTTGGGATTACTATTTTCTTGGCTACTATAAATTAATAATTGGTATGGTCTATTAAAATATGGACCTAATTTAATTAATTCATAAATTAATTTCTACTCCACTAAAAGCAATTAATTACACTCCAATTAAATAGTAAATAACCTCTAAGTCAAAGTTGCACTTTGACCCCTCTATGCATAATTGTTTATCGGATTATTAAGTCATCAATCCGACAACATAATTAATATAATTATTTTGTTACCTTTGATTATTTCCGGCTTGATCACAATAAAATATTTGTTTGACAAAAATAATAATTTACTAAATAAATATATATAAAACATTTTGTCTAAAACATGCGAAGGCCTTCGAATTTAATTTGCGATCAACCATAATCAATACAAAATAAATACAAGTAGCACTGATACAAATATTGAGAATATAACCCACTAACTATTAATTACATAACTATCCAAAGTACCGATCTATGGATCCCGAAGTATCCACCAAACAAATTAAAGTAATTATTAATTAATAAAAGAGTTTATACTTCTCTCATACTTAAGGGTCAAATGGCATGTGTAACGACCTGAACTGATTACCAATAATAAAAAATTAAAAAAAAATTTCGGTATGACCTCCGCTAAAAATGGTCCTACAACAACTTGCTCAAATGAAAAAAAAAACAATGGTTTTTCAAGACCTATCCAACCTGCCCCAACACACAATACAAAAGAAATATAATACATTCCCCAATACCACAACATCAATAAGCCCCCAAATTAACCCATCATCGTCATCCCCTTCAACTTAAGCATTTACATAGTCTCAGTTTACAACAAAAATAATCAAGTATCTTAGTTATGCTACAGGGCCATGATTTGCAAAAATGAATACTCTTTTACATAGTTTGAGACAATATAAAAAATGGGCTGAGATATAAAAAATAACAAAATACAACTCCTAATCTTCTTCAAGCTTGCGGGGGATTGTCATCCACCACTTCTTTTCCGAGCCCTAAAAAATGTTAAATAATGGGGTAAGCAAAATTGCTCAGTAGGTGGTGCCTAAGACGCACCTCTTGTGACCCCGTGAACCAAATAATGAATAGGATAATAGGGAGAGGGGTCATACTAAACCAGGGAAAATACAATGTAAATCTGCAAGTTTAAAACAAATGAATGTCGTGCCATGAATGCAATGTCATGCATGTCACTCCCAATTTTCAGAAAACTTCCATCACTTCACAAACTGTTAATATAACCTGCTCTTTGGTGACTCCGCAGTGACACGAGGGAAGGATTGGCTACTGTCCTTGACCTTTGGTACCTCTGCAGCGTCATTTGGGGCCCAGATAGCTCAACCACGCTAGGGCAATCTCCCTAGTTCCCTCTAGGCTATATTAACACACTGACCCTTTGGTGACTCCGCGGACACTGGGTTTTCTCAAAACCATTCTCTCAAATTTCTTTTCAAAATCCCCTTTCAATTTCATTTCAAAACACTTTCCCTTTTCTTTTATGCCCAATGCTTGTGTGCATATTACATGTCTTTTTAATACTATGGAAATGAAGAGAATTTTTAACATATAATTAACATGTTTTCACATAAAATTTCTAACAATTTATTAAGCATTATTGGCATGGAAAACTAACACATCAAGCATGCTTTTATTTTATTTTTATTTTTTCATACAATTCAATTAAATACGCATTCTCACATATTTCATATATACAATCAAGTCATTTTAAGGAACAATTATCACAATTTAGCATGCTAGGATACTAGTAGGATACTACTCAAGAAAAATTAATTCAGAAAGGAACAATCATCACAATTTAGCATGCTAGAACACTAATCAAGAAAAATTAATTCACAAAGGAACAAGATTGTAGGAATTAGAGACTCCTACCTCTAAATAGATGAAAAACCCTAATTTCTACCTCAAACCCTAGGATTTTCGAATCTCCTATAGTGCACCAACCAAGGAATTGCTCCTATCAACTTGTTGATCTCGTCGTGGGCTTCGAATAGCCGCACGGCTCTTAAAATTACTAAGTATTGAGAGAGAAATCAAGGATTAAAGCTTTGAAATGGAAATAAAGAAAAACAAAAAAGAAAAAAAAGAAATCAGAGAGAAACAGGTAGCGGGAGAGATGAAAGAATAAAGAAATAGAGACCAACATATGGTCTCATGACCACTTAAAACAATTGTGGGCCCCACCAATTTTTTAAAAAAAAATCTTTTTCTTTAACTAACAATATATACATATATTTGAAACATTACAGCATGACAGTGATAAGGAGCAATTGCATACGACGACTCTCACAATATAACTCAACCTAACGCGGATCCAGTTCAAGTCTTAATTAATAATGAGTCCATTCATAATTACAGACTTTGAACAATTTATTATTACTATTTATATTCATGTATTGATCGCCATCACATACATATATAAATATCTCTTGCAATCAAGTGGACACTATCAATTCCATAATGAATCGAAATATAATATATTAAATTCACCAATTATATAAATCATAAATATTTCAGATATGTCAGGAACATATGTTTCTTAAATCCAAATAGGAATTCGCTATGCCAGGGCATATAAATCCCAATAGCTCTCACTTGCCCTCATAGCCAATTCAAATTGCATCAAACTCCAACATTATCCAGGCGACGATAAAAACTATTGATCGATGACACCTTTGTTAATGGATCGACAAAGTTGTGTTCCAATGCAATGTTCTAGCCATGAGTACATTTTCTTGCCGGACAATATCATATAAGACATGATACTTCCTCTTAATGTACCTTGTTCCTCTATGGAGCCTTGGGTCATTTGTTTGGGCTACTTCAGCACTATTGTCGCAATTTAGCTTAATAGGCAGGCTAGTATACTCCACAACCTCGAAATCAGTAAGGTCAAACCAAAAGGCTTTCTTTACTGTCTTTAAGGCTGCAATGTACTCCACCTTCATGTTTGAGTTAGCAGTTGAAATCTGCTTACCAATCTACCAACCGATTTTCCTTTCATTGAGTGAACATACACCAAGTCATGAACCTTATAGTATCTACATCTGATTAAAAATCAGAACTAGCATACCCGACTGTGATGACATCATCACATCCATAAATAAATATGAGATCATTGGTTCTTCTAAGATACTTTATGATATTTTTCACAACTGACCAGTTATCAAGTCTGGGATTGGGCTGATATCTATTAACTATTCCTACTATGTAGGGGATGTCCTGTTTGGTATAGATCATGGCATATATGAGAATTCCACATGCTGAAGCATATTATTCCACTCTCATTTACTCAATCTCGTCTGTTAGTCTTGGAAAACTACTTAATAGAGAGAGCAATCCATATCAACAAAGCAAGAACTCATTCTTTGAGTTTTGCATACCAAACCTGGTCAAAACTTTATCAATGTAGGTTTGTTAAGATAAGCCTATTTTCCTTTTAACCCGATCTTGCAAAAGTTTGATCCTAGGAATATAGCTTACATCTTTAAAATCCTTAATTTCAAAGTGATTGAACAACTACCTCTTTACTGATGATGAAATTTTCCGTGTCATTCTAAATGAGTAGAATGTCATCAATATATATATAGAATTAGAAAAATAATGACATTCCCTTGTACACTTATGATTTATTCACTAATAAATCTTCTGATATTCTTTTGTAGATTAACTTGCCTTCCATAGGTATCACCCTACTAGAAAGTTCTACAAGATCCCAGATTTTATTAGAATACATAGATTCTAACTCTGATTTCACAGCAACTCAGCAAAACGATCTGTATCCATATCGGTTTACGCTTTCGTGTAGCTTACTGGGTCCAACTCATATTTAACAGGGATGTCCATAAAGGTCTCACCTAAAAACATGATTCTGTCAGATTGGATGATAATCCTTCCATTATAACAATGTACTGATGCAGAAGTTTGTGTACTAGATGATGTTGACGCATCAATAAGGAATTCATATATAATTCTTAATCTCTATAATAAGTGTGTTCAAATGTGGTACATTTGGTACTCATACCATATTCTTTAACATTATGCTACTAGATATGTGATTCATAATATGATTCTCCTGTAGATAAA